TTGTCTTCAAGTACAGACCACTACTTGTAGAGAGATAATTGATGCCATAAGCTTTACTCTGTTAACTGTGATAAACCTGATATACGTAAGCTCTTTATATAAACAAGCAGCTGTATGGCATCAGTCAGGTGAGAGAGTAGATGTGGGAGAGCGAAACCGAAACTTACGGCGTGGTGAGTTAACGCTTAAACCACAAGCACAATTCAACTCTCCATGAGTTCCATGTGACCGGCAGACAGCCAGCATAGTACCTCTACCACAGGCCAGCGCCATGTGACGATTCGTCACATCTTTCACAGTCCATTCAGGATATTGCATAATTATGCTTTTCATCCGTTTCATGTTTGACAATTCTACACATTTTGATAAACAAATATCAAAGAATAGTTACGGTTCATTAAGAAAGTATCCTGAAACGTAAAAATCTACTTGTTTTGGCCTAGTTATCCTTTGTTTACATTGGTTGTACGGCTCCACGTGCTGTCATCGAAGCCCAACGGAGAGCTAGCGATACGGTCACTTTGATGTATAAATATATATTCTCATGCAACTCACTGTCGCAGTTGTGGTAGCATATCTATATAATCATGCAACACAATATGTAAAGCACCCCCAAAATCTTGCATTAGTCCGATCTATAGTGATTTCTGGAAAAGCGCGTCTGTTTACAAACAAGAGAAAAGTCCGGTCACGTGATATGCAAATTAGCCTGTGGCAGTGGTGTTATGCTGAGTCACCACTGCGCCGGGGTGTGGCACAACTCACCGACAAGAACTACTTTTTTTAACTGAAATTACATCGTTTAATATTTTAATACTCAATTGAAACCTCAAAGCGTTTACAAGGTTATGGTAGGTATCAAATCAAATATAACACACCTCGGCTTCTGTAGCAAGGATGCTGTAACTGGCGACTTATACAAGAAGATCAAGAATACAAAAGCGACAAAAAGCACTCCCATATTCCTTACTCTGCTAAAGGGAGAGTCCATTGTACGATTTCAAATATCTAGCAATGTGTTTTTTAACCACTATCAAATATCGATCATACCATTGAAAAAATATGTTTTAATCAATCTTTCACAAGGCGACACGGTTTCATAGAACTGACTTCGATAATCAATTGCAACAGATCGTGGATTACAAAAAATCATACAGCTCTAATTGATTTTTAGCCCCGTTAAACTTATGAGCTTAACACAAACTGGCATGTCTGATATATATGGATATTTATGTAAAATTGTATAGATAAGTGTATGTATCTAAAAGCCCACTGGAAATATGTTATTAAACCAACAAACTGAGATTAATTTAAGAACACATTATGTTATAGTCGGAATCGTACAACTGACTCAGCTTATAGCAGAGATTTCGTTTGATGATGAAAGTATTTTGTCGCTTTTATTAAGCAGTACACCTTTTTCGACCCGTGAAAATCCGGGATAGAATAGGTGTTTAGCAACCGCTGATTGCCGTAAGAGGCGACTAACAGAATCGGGTTGTCAGATTTGCTGACTTGGTTGATGCATGTCATCGTATCCCAATTGCGTCGATCGATGCTCATGTTATCAATCACTGGATTTCTGGCCCAGACACGATAATTTGACCGCCGTCATATAGCTGGAATAATACTGAGTGCGGCGTTCAACAACAAACAAACAAGCAAACAGTACCCTTTCCTTTGCTCTAAGGTTTGGGTCCATTAATGTTAACAGAGTTAACTTCTTGGTTGATCAGAAAAAGCTGGATTCCAATGTTGGATGTGAAACTTGAGTAAATTGAACAACTTCACACGATAATGGATGACCCAAGTAATCAACTATACATAGCATAATCACACTTAATCCTTCGTATTACAAAACACAATCAATACATCAAGCCTGTGAAAAAGAGAAAAAACCCAACAACTTCGACACAATGAATTAAAGAGCTATGATTGGGACCATTATACCACGTCGTGTAATACAATGTATCGACTCACCCATCTTCGAATTGTGAGTGTGACGAACTATGAACAGAAACATCTGCCGTGAAGTACCATCGTCTTAAACTTCAAAGAGAGACAATCACGTTTGAAGTAATAAGGGCCCTTTGTATATATATTTTAACCAAATAATAATTAAAACGTGTACAGAGATAACTAAAAAACGACCGTTTCTGTAACACCTTGTCGGCAATAACGATCTTTCTGCCTGGGCATAGACAGTCCCAACACGTCTTCAGTCCGAAGTAGGCAGCCAGAAAGGGGAGCAATTGGCGATCAAGATGAGGTTGAATAACACCCAGTCAGAACCTAAAGCTGGGTTCGGTCGCTTCAAATCAAAGGCAGATTGCGCCACTGATTAATGTTTGGGATCTCTGTGAATACTTCCGGCTTTTCTAAACTCTGGAACATGGTTGCCATGGATCTTGCAGGAACAAGTACCAGCTTAGCGAACCGCCTTGTCACCATGCCTACGCATGCTTTGTCGGTATCTGGCTCTCACGACCACCTGATTATAAATATTGGCATACAATACAATATGTTTGCATTATCGTCATATGCGGAAGCTGGCGTCTTTAATTAAATCCATGAAAACCAACCAAGTCAACTTGACCATTTTGCAACAAACATCCCTCGCTTGTTGCAATCCCAGACCTGCATACATTTTGTCATATTGAAATCCTAATCACCTGAGTAATGTCTGAGAAGAAGTCCATTTTCAGTGATTGCTTTACATGATTAGTTAATGGTCTACCTGATTCAAAACGTGGATTAGCTAGGCTTTAGTTTGTAATCCAGTAGGTTTATCACCGGATTGTCAAACCTGGCAGTCTTGATAAAGCAATTGATCATTGGTTTTTATATTAGCATCCCTAGTTAGACCGATATCGTTGGTTTGACATGATGAGAATAATAATAACTCTTACGAAAGCCTCAATGCATGGTTGAGATGACACACGTCGGAGCAACAATTCTGCTTTCAGAAAATATTTGTTATGATTTTGGTCACTTGTATTTATACGTGGTGAACACGTCGCTCGGGTTAAAAAAAACCCATCGCCCTAGCGTTAATTTGTTATTTCATTTATCCCGGGGATATTCAGATTGTTTCATTTTAGTCAAACCGCGAGCCTGGCCGTCCTTGGCCGCATAGTAGGTTGCTGAGACAGGATATACGCGTGGTCAACCCGTTGGCACCATTGTAGCAGCTATAGTGTCATGATGGGATTCGAACCATGCACCTTCTGATCTGAGGTAGGTCGCCTTGTCCAGATGACTAAAGACGTTAATCTTGTCAACCAGTTGACATTGTCATGACTCCATCACCATGTCCTGTTTTAGTAACTCGGATCCCCATTATCGAATTAATGACCTATTGTGATGTTTCTCATAATTTAGACTCTTTGGTTTTGTTACTGATCACATACATTCTTTATGTACGTAATGCATCGTTTTCGACTTCACAACCACAATGCAACATACACTGGCCCCTCGTCTCATACTATTCGGGATCTTTATGTGTGCTAACTGCGTTGGGGTTTGGAGGTAAAATGGGGTTTCAAAATCATTGAACTTATATAGCCATGTGTGTGTGTGTGTGTGTGTGTGTGTGTGTGTGTGTGTGTGTGTGTGTGTGTGTGTGCGTGTGTACTAGTTCGAACTAATGCCGGTTGTATCCCTCTGAGATACCGCAGTTTAACATTATACAGCATTAGACACAGTATACTGACTCCGAGTCGAACAGACCGCGTTTTATTCGAGCACCAGGCAGGGTAACAACAAGTACCATTTTTTTTAACGGCATTTGGTATGACGAGGCGTAGAAAGAACCACTGAGTTTCCGCTCTCAGTTCATACGCTCTATCCACCAGACCACGGGGGCGGTATCATTGCGTTGACCACAATCATGTTGAATAAAAAGAGACATGCAATTTGCACCATTGATTATACAGAGTCAGTTTTCAATCTCCCGGGGAAAGACCATTTTATATTTTGAAATGAAAGTAAATGCTATTCTGTCGTATGAAGTTACCTGTTGTTGTAATCACCCACTCTGGAAGGCAAATTCAATTTCCTATCTGCATGTATAACAACTTTAAACTGGGTAATTGAAAGTAGCTCTCGATGAATTTACATGCAATTTTAGCTTTCGTATGATTTTTTTTACAACTTTGAACTGTTGAATTGAAAGTAGCTCTCGATGAATTTAGCTTTTGTATGATTCTTTCCTATGGGAATAGAATACATGTTTATTTAAAACATTTTGATTGACATCATTCAAAAAATGTGGTAGATGAATAAAAATGAAATAAAGCGAATGAATATGATTGCATAACATTGTATATATATTCAAACTGAAGTAAACCCAAACACGTTACACATTGATAATCAGTTAGAACACCATGAATTTTAGATACCACGGAGATGGATTCTTATGCTAATGTCAGAAAGTTACCTGTGCTCTTGTTCCATGGTTGTATCCATTGCAAATCAGACATGATCTACACATAGCAACCGAGTCCCATTTGATTAATCATGATACTGGACTGGTTAATTCTGTCAGCGGTTAAAATGTCTAAAATCTTGAAGTGCTTATGATATTGGCTGGCAATTTTTTATGGTCATAAGAAAATAGAAGTGTAATGAGCTTGACTTCCAGCTGAACTAGCAGAAACATGTCGGACAACTGATCCATCTACAAGATGTCTCAACTGGCATACTGAAATAAGCCGACAGTACTCATTAGCTAGCTCGACAGTCGGGACATACGAATATGTTCTGGAAATAAATACATTCCAGATACCGAGATAAAAACGATGTACGACTTCTTAAGGAGATCCACGGTCGATCTTTTACAAAACGCTTAGAACTCAGACAGGCCACTAAGCAATCCATGCACAGGGCCCTTTAATTTACTGTTATCATCAGGCATAGAGCCATGTACCTATATCGCCCACAGATATATGCTTTGCAAAGGTAGAAGATTTCATGATGCAATTGTACAAAAAACGATGTACCTCTCGGCTTACCTGTACCCTGGAATTAGTGTGTCGTTTAGAGCTCCAGTCAGACCCATTGCGAGCATTCCTTTCCAGGTTTTTAGGTAAAGTACTTATGAATAATATCCTCCCAATCAGACAGTAGAGCACAGCGGCAATGATGAAAGGAATGACATAAAAAATAATAAGGTCTGTCATGTAATAGACAAGGTACGAGTCTCGTCGCAAGCGGAAGTCACATTTTTCAATTGTAAGTCCATTCAACTGTTGGATGGACTGCACATCCGTGAGCCCCAGCCATGGACAACAGTACGTCAGAGTCATTAGCCATAGACAGCCTATGATCCGTTTGGCTCGGGACACCGTACAAATAGTTTGAGCCCTCATGGGGTGGCATATCGCAATATAACGCTCGATAGTGAACGCAGTGATTGACAACGACGAGGCATTTACTCCAACATACTGAAAAAATATCAAAATTGAACACAGAGCCCTTCCAAAGGGCCATTCGTTTACTTGAAAGAAAGGTTCCGGAATGGATGGTAAAGTTGCCGAAAGCAGGACAATGCAATCGGCCACTGCGAGGCTCAGAAGGTAGCAATTTGTCGTGGTATGCATGCTCCGTGTACGCGCGATCACAATCACTACCAACGTATTGCCAACAAAGCCAACGATGAACACGATGGCACTTAATGTTGCTGCTATAATCCTAAAATCAGCGGAATAGTACATAGGAAGAGCAAGGGTCTTGGTTGAGTTGGCATCCAGAGACTCATTTTGGTCCATATCCGAGTGGTGGACCGAATAGTCGGTCGGGGTCTGGTTAATGGGAAAACTGTGATTAAAGGTCGCCTGGTAGGACCCTTGGACCCGTCCCTCCATCTCCATCACCATGTGCTGGGTTGCTCGTATACGTTACTGCTAGTCATCCTCTGGCGAGAACAGCGATGAGCTTCCCTGTAACTATCGAAGTGTCTGGAGTTGAATGAAGCTCTGATCTGCTGAATGCTCGCTCCCACACACCGGAGCGACTAGTGGCTGCGAAGCAAGCTGCGTCGCAATGAGAGCTCCAGCGAGACAGCGTTCCTTGAGAGGCCGATCGCATTGGACGAATCACAAAACATTGGAGGAAGTTATTTACTGGACGCCTGAAATGCGAGGTATCAAACGTATTAATTTCACGATAACAAATTCTGGATGCGATCCAGTGTTACTAACGGGTTTACCAATTACTATATCAAAACAACAACTGCTTTTCTGAAGAGCTGGCTCTGGTAGTAGTTGTAAAAATTAGTTACTTCTGATTGAATAGTTAACAGAGACTAATTTCTTCAGTATGTTTTTTTTATCATGGCGGGAGCTAATTGTATTGATATGTCTTTGTGATAATCAATTATGAATGTTAATTCTGTTGCACTTTACCTAATCACCTGTCTAAATCAGTTTCTAGCATCATCGACCGACGGAAGGATTTATCGTTTTAGGAAATGCCTGACTTAACTATAGGTTACTATTTGTGTCGATAAAACGGTAAATACGAGACAGTTACGCATTGTCCCCTGTAATTACCTGGAGGTCTATAAGCGTTGTACAATACAACACCGTCTCAATTACAGGGTGAGTGGGTATATCGCGTGAGCTATTGTTATAATCCTTGTCGATGGTCTTGGGAAATATCAAGACTAATGCCTACGTAGACGCACGGTGAAACCCAAATTACATGACATATATATATATATATATATATATATATATTATAAGTTTGCCGCTTTGAACAATATCATATCACCGCGTGTCAGTATATAATGTTAGTGGGAGGGAAGGGGTCTTCTACGGGGGTACAGAGTAGATTCCCAGAACATCTATGTTGGTGGGTTCAAATTCCTGATTCGCCCGATGCTGGTGTGTTTAATGAAGTGCTGAACGTTTAAGATCAATACTTTTCTCCTCTAACTTCAAGCTGACACACCATGATATAACTGAAATACTGTTCAAAGCGGCGTTAAACCGAACTCTCTCACTAATGTGGTGGAACGCCCGAAGTAGTGGTCTTAGAAGTTTACCATTTGCCGGAAGCCGACGAATATGGGTATGGTACTGACAACCCAAGAATCATGATGAGTGCGAATCTGGGATACTCATGAGTCTGGCAAGCCTGTGAGAGTCAACTATGCACTGGGAATTGATTTAACGTGCGCAGTGTTATGGCGGTATGGTGTGGTTAAATGGCTGTCACTCACAGGGACCGCCTCCGTGGTCCAGCGGTAGAGCGTCCATCCGGAGAGCGGAAGGTCCGGGGTTCGATTCCCGGCCGCGTCATACCAGAAGACGTTAAAAAGATGGTACTTGTTGTAACCTTGCCTGGCGCTCTCGATTAAGGGGCTTCAACAAGGACTGGTCGGTTCGGAGTCAGTATTCTGTGTCTTAGTGGGGTATTCATGTTAAACTGCGACATGGTATTTCAGTGGACTTGCACTACAAAATCAGCATCAGTCCGGACTAGTACAAGCAGCCACACACACGTGGGTGCACGTCGCTGTTTATGTGCAATACTCTTGGACGCGACGTTAAACCCCTTTTTACCTCACCTCATGACGCCGAGGAGGAGAAACAACCCCTGCATTGATATTTGAGCTTATTTAACGTATACATAAATAGTACAAGAGCCACGAAAATGTTAGCTGCCTCGTGTGTTACTGATGTCGGCTACTGATATTTTAACTTACCTCGGGATATGGATAGTTACGATCCATCATTTCTGCGCTCACCAGAAATCTAATATTCCTGAGATCATGCAGAATTATGCATCCGAAGTTTCGTCAAATGTGTTGCTTATTACCAGAGTTACTATGATGACGTTTCTTTAATGGTCGTCGACCGACGTCTAACATCTCCAACGTCACATAAAACAATGTTGCCGCTTTTAGCAATATTCCAGCAATAACACGACGGGGATACTAGAAATGGGCTTCACACATTGTACACATGTGGGGAATCGAACCCGGGCCTTAAGCGTGACGAGCGAACGCTTTAAGCTCAAGGCCAACCAACCGTTCCTGAGCGAATATTCAGTATGAAGTCTCTCGCGTGTGTAACGACCATATGGTTGAGGAAGCAGTTATACAAATATTGATCCCGACAGATACATTTTATAAAAGAGGCTTGCTTGTGTAATATTACATCAATGATCTGTTCCAGTGATAAACAGTTAAAGCTCTTTAATCACGTTAACCCCTTAACACTGCGTTCCACATCATTAATGTTTGGACGTCTATATGTTTGTTTCTTGGTTACTGTACCTGGTGTGCTGGCTGCCGGTAAATAACCGATTCTAGGTCAGACAATCCAGCGATCGATATGAGCAACGATCCACGCAATCGGGGTACGATTCTACGCAATCAACCAAGTCAAAGTGATTGAAAATCCGATTAATTAAATCTTCTCTTTCGACAAGCATTGGTTTGGGGTCCTATTCTAACCAGGAATCTCCACGGGGCGGAACGTCCCCCCCACAAATGTAAAGTCCAGATTAAGGAGGTACCACTGTATCGAAAAGCGTTATCTTGATAGTCAAGATATCTGGCTACACATATGTGAAATATAATATGTGATGACATGCACTTCGTGTTCATATCAGTGTGACTGTTATTTTACCTTAAACACTGACAGCTGTCATTGTTTATTATCATATTCGTGACTGAAGTGAATCGGCAAATATTTACTTTATGGTTATGATATTACTCTGTCTATAAGAAATAGTGCACCACACACAGCCAACGGTACATATAAAATACAAGACACAATGGCTGATTGATGCCCATTTAAACTGTCACAGCATACAATGTAAGTGTACAGCTGTCGACAGCAGTCTGCTGAACAGACTCGCACAGCTCGACAGAGGCTGAAGGTAGTATGTGTGCTAACCAGCTGTTGATGTGTACTGTGGGAATATTGCTCACTAGTATTGCGGTAGTCAAGATAACTCTCAAGCACATTTGTATATATTTACAGGTGATACCACAGAGGCCATTTGCAGACCATGGCCAGAGCTGTATGACGAAGATATCTGTTATTTTATCGTCTTCTACGTGTACTGACATTTTCATTTTGCCAGTTATTTCTACAGCTGTAGGAAGACTTCTGTTGTTTTATCTTCTTTTGCTCAATATTAATCTTAGTAGCTTCTGGTTTGATATAAATATTAATATCCATATCCGATAGAATTTTCCGGATAAAGCAGAGTCGATTATACAATTCCGACTATATCATGAGCATGTGTTTATGAAATGTGTAACGTTTCTTGAACACCTGGTGTCATCACAATTTGATAGTGATTCATAAACACATGCTCATGATGTTGTCGAAATCGTACAAACTACGCTTTTGGCAGATATTTCTTATGAATACGGAAAGGGTTTTGTCGCCTTAAATTTTGAACTTATCAAATGAGTGATTGAGTGCATGAGTTGGGTTTAATGCTGTTTAACACACCACGTCAACCTTACTTCACCTAGACGGGTGGTAGAATGGGGCCAATTCTATCAATCAGCTGGATACGCTATGCCCTGATCATGGAAAACATTTTTTGAAATATTTTTTTGAATAATTCCGAACAAACCCATCAAAAGCATGCAATAAAAATAATCAACAATTCTATTACAACTTTGCCTAGAGTCCTATCCCAGAAGGCGTTGGGTAAGGGGCCAATCTGGCATTTTTTGTACCGTCGGGTTCTAATTGTCTTCAGGTAACCGTCAAGGGCCGACCTTTATTCTGTTTGGCAGAAAGAGCTGTCTGTGCTTTTTTCTACGTGAGCAGGGTTGTTGAATCCCCTTTCTTTCACAAAGTCTACTCCACAAGTCACATGACTGGTTTTCGTTCTTAAAATAAGAGAAGACATGAAGAAACAGATGCTGTTTCATCTGATGATGAATGTTCTGTACAAAATCCGCAATTTCTGGTTGTGTTGAGACTTGATGGCAAGCCACTCAAGATCAACCCTTTCATTATTTCAAATGATGTGGATGGAATTTGTTGCGATGTAAAAATGTCACTCGTATCCGCTGTGGTTTCCTGTTTGTTGAATGCGGTAGGAGACACCAGTGCATAAATCTGCTCAAAGCACATCATTTTGTCTCTGAGCATTGTCCTGGACCGTGCTAAATGTCTGTCTGACATGTCTGAGGAGGAAGTTGTGGTTTCCTGTTTGTGGAATGCGCTAGGAGACACCAGTGTATAAATCTGCTCAAAGCACATCATTTTGTCTCTGAGCATTGTCCTGGACCGTGCTAAATGTCTGTCTGACATGTCTGAGGAGGAAGTTGTGGTTTCCTGTTTGTGGAATGCGCTAGGAGACACCAGTGTATAAATCTGCTCAAAGCACATCATTTTGTCTCTGAGCATTGTCCTGGACCGTGCTAAATGTCTGTCTGACATGTATGAGGAGGAAGTTGTGGCAGGGCTTAAATTTCCAGGTGTTACTTCACTTTAACGTTTCACAGGAAAAGATCATGACAACATAATTGAAACAAATACTTACCTTTTGACGTCGGCTCTATCTTCAATCCCTAAATCCATCAAAACCTGGGCGTGGGTGGATATTAATGCACGAAATCCATTCCACAGCTTCAAAATGTCAGCAAATTGGACACGAAGCCTGTAACAACTAAACATGACAGCAACGCAAACGGCAACGGTTAATTGATGCCCTCTTCAAATTTATGTCCGATGTTTGAGAAAGAAAGAGAGATGGATTAAATCAAATACAAATGACATGTCCTTTTCTGAAGATATGAAACTTTGAGCAGATCAATCACCAACTACACCTTCCACAAGATCGTACTCTATGCAGTGTCCTCTTTGACACACACTGAAGATAATGAATGTCAGACAGCAATATCCTTGATCACGGCCAGACACACAAAATTCCTTTTCTCAAGATATGCCAAGGTCTGAGACACAGAGTCAGATACAGCTGGAACTCTGCCTGAGTCACAGGCAGTCCTACGGCAGACTTAGGCCGCACAAGCATGTAAGAGAAATATTGAAC